GCGGGATGCGCGAGGGAGGGATGAGGGATGGGGGAGAGGAAGGGAGGGGGGCGAAGTACCTGGGTCTTCCATTGTAAATGCGCAGAGGGAGGTTATGGGGGATGCGACGGGTGTTTGGTGGGTGAATGCTTTGAGCTGTGCAAGGCGCCGAGGTTTGACGCACGCGGAAGGACCAGGATGAAACGCGCTTGTGTGACGTCATTTTGGGTTTCATCAAGCTCCAACAAGCTCACATCTATGCAACGAGGACATGGTGGTGGGAAGCATGTTTATTATTTGATTACTTCTTGGTCATCATGGTTCTATCTCTTTCCTCTTTCTTGGAGTATCATGAGATTTCCAATGTCCATCTACTGTGACCTGTACTGCTGAATCTCCGCCTCGTCAAGATGCCTCAGCTTGTTGACGTTTGGTGCCTCACCAGTCGCAATACCCTTCGCCAGCTCCACAAGCCCGCCAATCTGTGTCCGCTTCGACACGGCGTACTGTGCAGTGCTGACCTTGACGCGGATGATGCCGATACGCGGGTCCTCTGGGCCACCGTCGTGCTTGCCGTCACCGAGGTCGCCAATCCACGCCTTGAGCGCGGGAGAGTAGTGCTTGCGGACGACGTCACGGTCTGTCTCGATGGAGGCGTGGCCGGATATGGAGGCCCACTCGCCTGAGTTGTTGATGAAGCCGACGTTGACGGACTTGTGCTCCTTGAGGTCGTCCGTCTTGCCGGACTCGGTGTTGGTGTGGAAGAGGAGGTCGAAGCCGTGGCCCTCCTGTTGTTTGTCAGCCATGTCTTTCGTTATGAATCGGGTGTGTGGTACCTTTGCAGCGACAGCCATAGCTCTTGAGGCCAAGAGGTCGCTGTCTGCGGCCTGTGTGGTCAACAGGCAGAACTTGGTCTTGTCGACAAAGTTGAGCAGGTCCTCGCACTTCTCCTTGAGCGAGGGCTCCTCGAGGTTCTTCTGGGTGTAGGGGTCGGCCGTCTTGGAGCCGGTGTCGGTGTTGCTGAAGCCAGACATGGTGATGGTGGTTGTAGAGAATACGCGTTGAGCGGCGTGGTTGTTTGGTAGCTGGGGAGAAGGCGTCAGCTTCTGTAGACACAATGTTCGAGGCGACCTTCGCGCTGTCCTTGCGATGCACTGAGAAAGGAAACGAGAGGAAAGCATACCTTGGAATGGGTAGTTATCGGTAAGCAGGTAGTGTGTGGGAGAGGAGCTGAGAATGTCGCGCGACTTTGTAGGACTTTGCCAATGATGTCATCAGTACCACCACCACGCGTTTGGGAACCACATCCACCCCGCTATGTATGTGGGGTAACTCCTTTGGGCTGTCACCGGCACCGGCTCCTGTTGCGGATGGTCTAGTCTGTAGTTCAGGGTCTTGCGTCATGTCATGCTTCTTTGAGCTAATGACCAAGTTCTAGATGCTTAGTCGTACATGTCACTTTGATCGACGCATTGAAGATGAGATGGTGATATTAACCTTTTAGGTCTGCTGCGCGTCTGAATGAGACACATCGTACTCCACTCCGTGACCCCGTCCCATGCCATGCTGGTATCTCGTAACAATAGCGGACAATGTACCGATTCCAAGATCCCAAGCTAGAAATGAAGATGTGGGCTAGATCCTACACCATGCCAATATCCCGGAAATATGACCCAAATTTCAAGAGGCTAACACCCCTAGTGACAACGTTTGACACTGCGCACTCTATGCGTCGGCGGCAGTCTCCTTGTCCTCGATCGTGGCCTTCTTAAGGTCGTCAGCAGCGTCCGCTGCCGCGTCCTTCTCCTGTGCGAGCTCAGCCTCGGCGGAAGCATCGCCGTTAACGGCCTGGTTCTTCTGGGCGGGCTTGCGAGCGGCGTCGGTGCTGCCGTTGGCGGCGTCCTCTGCGGCTTCTTCAGCCTCAAGCTTGTCAATCTCCTTCTGCGCCTTGGCGATATTCTGAAGACTTGTTAGCAGCATCCTCGCAGTGGTATGTAGAATCACTCACCTCCTTGGTCTTGCGGTCCTGGTCCTCTTTCCAGTGGGCAAGCTTGGCCTGGAGCTTCTCGACGGTGGCGGGGACTTCGTCCTGGCTTGATGGGGGGTCGACGCCGACCTTGGCGAGCTCCTCGATGATGCCAATGTTCAAGTTGAACTTGCTGGCAGCAGCGCCGCCCTTCTTGCCCTTCTTTCCCTTCTTGCCACCAGTACCAGCCATGTAGCTCTCCTCCTCGGTGTCCTTCTTCGATATGCGGGTACCCTTCAGGCCCGAGTCGTCGACGGTGCGCTGAGCGGAGGCGGCGAACTTGCTGGCGGCGGTGGTCTCCTTCGCGGGGAGTGCGGAGGGGTCGAAGTGGCGGATCAAGCCCTCGCAGGCAATTATCTCGTCGCCGTAGGCAGGTGCGCTGGCTTCCTCGAGACGCTTGGAAGCAGTCTCCTTGCGCTTGCCGGCGACGTACTGGAGCTGCTCGAGGCGCCTCTTCTCATTGCGGATCTTGCGCGCCTCGAACTCGTAGTTCTTGAAAGCGCGGAGTTGCTGGAAGTAGTTGTCCTTGAGCTCCTTGCGGGCCTGATACTTCTCCTGCTGCACTGCGCGCGCCTTGTCGGTCTCCTCACGGAGCGACCTCAGGTTCTTGAAGGCCTCGTCTTGCTCAGCCTTGAGTCCATCAAGCTCGGTCTGGAGCTTGGTGTACTTCTCGGAGAGGGCCTTGTTCTCCGGATCGTCAAGAAGCTTCTTCTGCTCGGCGATCTGGGCCTTGATGTCGTCGATCTTCTTCTGCTGCGAGTCGAAGCCGGAGAAGTTCTTCTTGGCCTTGTTGAGGGCGCTGATCTCGGCCAGGGCCTTCTTCTCGTCGACGAGCTTCATCATGCCGCCGTCGACCTGCTTCTGCAGACGGGCAATCTCCTGGTCCACATCCTCGGCCGACTTGTAGTTGGACTTGCCCTTGGCCGTCTTGAGCTCGTTGAGCTGCTGCTTAAGCTGCTCGTCGAGCTTCTTGATCTTCTCGAAGATGGAGTTGCGGCCGGACTTGTTGCCCTGCTGGGTCGAGCGGATGGCGTTGAGCTCCGTCTTGAGCTCCTGCTGGCGCTTCGCGTTGGGCGAGTCCTTGTTGTTGGGCTTGGCGAGGTCGAGCTTGGCCTTGCACGCGTTCTGGGTGTCGTTAGTAATTTTCCCGAATTGAGTGGTGGTGTGCGATGCAGCCACCCGTCAGCTCGTGGCCGTGCGACTGCGCGCACCACACGGGGACATGGACTCACCAGCTTCTCCTGGGCGGCGGCGTGCTCCTTCTCCAGCTTGGCGAGCTCCTCCTTGTACTTGTCCTCGTCGGGCTTGTCGGGCTTGACCACCTGCTGCTTGGCCGGAGGGGCAGCAGCGCCGTTGGTCGAGGCCTGGGCGGCGGGTGGAGTTGCGACGTCGGCCATGTTTGCTGGGCAGTCAATTGGGTTGAGGGGCTGACTGGGAGTTGCAGCGGGGGGAGAGGTCTGCGAGATCTGGGTAGACCGCCGAGTCGTGAATGTGCAGGCGAGGCGTGCAGGCGGTGGGAGGACAACTATTAAATTCGAGGGTCTCGAGTGAACCACGGATGCTGGCAACTTTTCCCGATGTTTAGCGGGCGGCCTAGTGTGCCGCCCGCAGTCCTGACCCTTCACTCGGGGCCTCGAACACCAGACGCACACACCAAACCACGGCTATGGCGGAACAATCGCGGGGCAGCATCCCCATTCTGCTGCTCAAGACCAAGTCAGTGCCCAAAGACACGTACGAAGAGCTGTTCCTTGAACTCGACAACGGCAGCTATGCGCCCGTCTTCGTGCCCGTTCTCGAGCACAGGTTCAAGCGAGATGCCCTGCGTGAGGTGCGCCAACATGTCACCAATCGCGGCTTCGTGCCACAAGCGCAGCAGGGTCTTGCGACATATGGCGCGCTGATCTTCACCTCGCAGCGTGCAGTCGAAGCCTTCAGCGAGGTTGTCGAGGAAATCCGTAGAGATGGCGCCCTCGACATCGACGACCTGCTCCCAGAGAGTCTGCCGCTGTACGTAGTAGGCCCAGCTACAGCTCGCGGACTGAGATCACTGGGTCTTAAGTGTCCAATCCTGGGAGAGGAAACCGGCAACGGCGAAGCTCTGGCTGGCTTTATCTTGAAGCATTACAACGCCCTTTATCTGGGTGTTGCGAATCCACCCGTACTGTTCATGGTCGGCGACAAGAGGAGGGATATAATACCAAAGACCCTGCAGTCAGAAGAGCTGGATCCAAAAGAGAGGGCGCGAGTAGATGAGTTGGTTATATACGAGACTGGAGAGATGCAGTCTTTCAAGGAGGACTTTTCGACAATCTGGCGCAGAAACGCGGATCAGGGCTCGAGACGGCAGTGGGTCGTTGTGTTTTCTCCAAGCGGATGTCAGGCCATGCTCGAGAGCCTTGGTCTGCTCGACATAGAGACTGGGAAAGCCAAGGCTACTGCTGATCAGAGAGACATCCTGTTATGCACCATCGGTCCGACCACGCGCGATTATCTGAAGCAGGAGTTTGGCTTCACTCCTGATGTATGCGCTGAGAAGCCAAGTCCGGAGGGCATCGCCGACGGCATTCACGCCTTTCTCGAGAAGTACGAATAAGCAATGTCATTTGTGGCTTCGTCTACGTGGACCGGGGTGCGCTCGATGAGAGGATGTACGATACGAAGGCGTTGTATATCAGCTTCGATAGGTTTGCTACATCAAGCGCGTGAATGCGCGACGCTATCTCACGCGCTCTCAAATCCTCGCTCATGACCGCTCGCGGCTTCCGTCTGATGGTCCAATGCTGCACGTGCCTTCCTGACGCGTCGATGTGCTAATGACTGCCATTGACGTCACCATTTCACGCGACGCGCCTGCCACAAACCGCGAGCGCGCGCAAACATCCGCCTCCTTCATTACTCCTTTGCTTTGTCTCCCATCACCCTTCTCTCATCCTTTCACTCATACTTCCCACGATATACACCAATTCACTCAATTGACTTCACTGCATCCACAATGGCAGGAACACGCTCCTCTGCACGCAGCACCGACGGTGGCTCCAGCCCAGCAAAGGGTAACGATGTCGCAGCCGGCACCAAACGCAAGCCCGAAGTCGAGCCGTCTCCCAAGCGCGACCGCAAGGCGTCCAAGAAGCAAGCTACTATCGAGGAGACAATGGACACCAGCAAGGAGTCTGACAGCGAGATGAAGGACGCCTCTGATGGGGGTCAAGACTCCAAAGATGCAGAGGAGGCCGAGAAGAAGGCCGCTGAAGATCTCGTTGACGCAAGCGACGCGACGGCATTGGCCAATGGCGATGATGACAAGCCTTCGACGACTGGCATGGAGACTACGGACGACCTGGTGGAACAAGACACCGACGCCGCCCCCAAAGCCGAAGAGACTACACAGACAGAGAAGAGCGAAGACAAATCGGAAAACGCGTCAAAGGAGACTAGCGCAGATGGCGAAGGCGCGATCGAGGAGTCCTCCCAGCGCGCAAAGCAAATGCCGTCCAACATTCTCGAAAAGGGCGTCATCTACTTCTTCACCCGCAATCGCGTCGGTGTTGAGGACTCTGAGAGCGTCGGCGACCTTCAACGCACCTTCTTCGTCCTCCGACCGATGCCGTCCGGAGCCAAGCTAGGCGACGGTGCCCTCGCCGACGATAACAACATCCGACTGTTTGCGCTGCCCAAGAAAGTCTTCCCCAAGTCGCATAACGATAAATTCATGGCATTTGTCGAAAAGGCGAACACTTCCATCAAAGAGCTGAAGGAGAGCTTCTTTGGCGCGGACGAGTACGAGACGAAGACACAAGGCAGCCGACGCACTGAGCCTGTGGCGCCAGTAGCGGAGGGCGTATATGCCATTACGCGCACTGAAGACCGGACGTGCCATCTCGTGTACTCCACCACCATACCTTCCGAGCTTGGAGAGGTCCAGGAAGACCTGGGTATCAAGGACCAGGGCAGCTTCGTCATGAGCGTCAAGAACCCTGAGCGCAGCGGACCGGCTTCCGCCCAGCTTCCTCAGAAGCCCGACTTTCCCAAGGAGTAAGTGATCCTGATATGACTAGTTATTCATGGCTGACCATTGCCAGGTTCATCGAAGAGTTCCGCGGACTGGCTTGGGTCGAAGTCAAGCCGAAGTACCTGGACTATGAGTACTGCCAGATCCTGCTCATCGGCGAGAAGATGGAGAGTGGTGTCGAGCCGACGACCAAGGACCAGAAGCATGACAAGGAAACTCCACAAGAGGAAATTGAGAAGCTTGAACACGAGGATGAGCTGCGCGTCGAGCATCTTCACGGTACGTTGTTCAGTTGCTGGCAAGTGTGATGTGTGTTAATCAAGTTTTAGGTGACGACTCTGTCTATGATGATCTCAAGATTAGCAAGAAGGAATATCCGCAGGTCGCGACGACCTGGTAAGCTTGACGACTGGCTCAACGAAACGCGATACCAACGATCTTCTTTCGCATTTACTGTACAACATATGGATCATCGGCGTTCAAGGGCGCGTTAAATATCACGGCATAACCTCTGGCACGGAGTGTCGGATTCAAATGATCAAAGGAACTGATTGTAGGGTTCGGCTTTGCCCACGGCTTTGATAGCACCGAGCCGCAATATAATAATCGATTTCATCCTACGCCTCCCAATGGACGCAACTGATATGCAACTCTTCATCCCTCATGATCACGCTGAACTTACGAACAGTCGCTCAATCGAGTTAGCGGATTGGGCAGACCCTTGGGCTCTTGTTTGCGATGCCATCGCGCCACTCTCCGCTCATCGCTCACTGCTCACCGCTAACAAGACCGCCATCCTCATCACCGCGAAGCTGGTAATGGAAACAGTTCGCCCCAAACTCGACTTTCTCTATCTTGATCTTGTACCTTACTAACACCTTCCTTACACCAACGACCCTTTGTCCCATATATCGCCGCATCTCTCCCACGGTCTCCAACATTCCACATCAACATGCCTCCCTTCCGGAAGTCCATCGCCGAGGACTCTAAGTCAGTTCTCTGGCTGCTCCAGTCCTTCTCCATCGGCAAGGAGCAGAAGACTACAGGTTCTACGTACCTCTTTCTGGACCGCGCAAACGCTGAATTCGGCTTTGTTGATAGCACGTTCTTCGGCCGTATTGCCTCTGTTCAGCGCCTTCCAGAGACCGGTGAGCCTATGTACTTCCAGGCCAAGACCGCTCGCGCAGCAGCCTGGCGGGACAAGAGCAAGAAAGTATCGATCCTGTTTCAGCATCTACAGATAGATTTGGAGTTTGTGTTGCCGTACCAAGCTCGCGGCTTTCTCGATATCCTGGAGGACATTGCGACAGCAGCTGGCAACCACTTCTTCTACAGCTATGAAATTCCACAGTATGTAACAGTCCGCATTTAATACTGTGTCTGGGACTGACGTGGTGCTAGAAAGGTTGCGTTCGTCAAGGCCGACTTCGACATGGAACAGCAGGGCTTCACGAGCCGAGCTCCGCAGCCTTGGATGGCGGTCCCTGCTGATTCGTCTGAATGGCCTCGTCTACGGAAGACGGGTGAATGGTCAGACTTCACCATTTTCGCGGGTGGCAGTCAATTCCGCGTCCATCGCGTCAAGCTTTGCAAAGAGTCATACTACTTCAGAGCAGTATGCAGTGGTGGCTTCGCCGAGACCGCGAAGCAGTCCATCGAGCTCCCAGAATCTGCACAAGTTGTCTCGACACTTCTCGATGAGATGTACGGTGTCTACAACCCGACTACTGGTTCCATCTTTACCAACTTCGCGCTTCGTATGGAGATTGAGAAAGAGCTCATGATGAACCAACTCCTTGATCTCTTCATCGCCGCGGACAAGGTACTCACTCTCATATCCTTATCCCTGAGCCATCACACTAACCCTGCACACAGTACAACCTTGAACCCATTAAGCGCCGCGCCGCCGAAGCCATCATTGACCGCCTGCCCTTCATCACCGACCCGCTCATGATCGTCGACCTGGCTACATGCATCCACCACGACCAATGCCCGGAGAACGATCGCGGGTTGCGCAAAGCCATCATCGAGTGTGTGAGGATGCGCATGCCGGCTATCTTGGATGATGAGAGTGCGTGGGAGGAGTTCTCGGAGAACAAGAACGTGCTGAAGGCCTTCCACATGTCGCAATGTGAGGCGGTTGAGGGTGGTGGTATGATTGCGGGTGGAGGTGGAGGTGGGATTATGACGCCGCCTGCTACGCCTAGGTAGGAGACTGTTCGAGAAGAGGAGGGGATGGAGGCTTGAGGAGTTTGGTTATTGGTGTGCAGGAGGATTGATTTGCTAAGAGGGAAGTGGGGCGGGTGTACTTGCGGTCGACACTCGATCGATCGAAGGCGTTTGATGCAAAGGCCTTGATTCGCTTTCGCTGGACTGTCGCGCACCCTTCAAGTCCGCTTCGAAGGGCGATTGCGATTCCATTTACTGTACCTACGGACCTTTCTTTTTGAGCGAGTGTATTTGGCAGAGGCAATTTTTCCCATTAGTAGCATGCCCAGCTCGCGATAGCTATCAGTCCTAACTGTATTTAAATATGATGGTTCATGTGCGATTGCGAAAGGCATGGCTTTGAACGGTTGTGATGTGTTGTGGGGTATTCAGCAACCGATCCGGCCTAGACCGGACACGAGCACCGTCTCACCTTCCCGTGTTCGCGAACGCGTGTCTTCATCTCCAATCTCATCAAGTCACGGCTCAAACCCCATATTCCAGGCAATACCGCGCCGCCATGAACGCAATACGCACTCCGACCATGCCATGAGCGTGCGCACAGGATATAGCAGCAAGAGGCTTTGATCGCCCTAACGGGGAGGCGCTCAACCAAGCGAAAAGGACCACCAAGCACAAAGAGAACATAACCAAAGGGCACCCGATCGAACAACACTGTTCAAGATGACCTCATCCTGGCGACAGAATGGTGAAGAACGCGGTGCATACACGACTGTTGCGCAGACCGAGACTGCAAGTGCAAACCTCACAGTACATGGCAAAGACGTTGCAAATGAAGATGCGGATGCCGATCCTTTTGAAGCGCCTGTTCATATTGGCTCCATACCGACAGCAGAGGATCTGCTATTTCTGCCTCGCGTAGCAGACACGCTGCCATATGGCGCTTTTCTAGTCGCCGTTGTCGAGCTTTGTGAGCGCTTCGCCTACTACGGACTCTCCGGGCCCTTCCAAAACTACATCGCCAACGAATACAACGACCCCAATGGCCTACCTGGCGCTCTTGGCTTGAAACAGAGTGGCGCGACAGCGATGACGAACTTCTTCCAATTCTGGTGCTACCTCACGCCTTTATTTGGCGCCGTTGTTGCGGACCAATATCTTGGGAAGTATGCGACGATTAAGTGGTTCAGTTTGGTGTACATGGTCGGCATCGCGATTCTCTTCGTCACGAGCTTGCCGTGGGCGGTTCGAGGTGGAGCCGCATACCCTGGACTTATTGTCGCGATGCTGGTCATCGGCCTGGGTACTGGTGGCATCAAGAGCAATGTGTCACCGTTGATCGCGGAGCAAGTGCGGTCCAACAAACCTTTCGTGAAGGACTTGCCCGGAGGAAAGCGCGTCATCGTTGATCCGGAGATTACGGTGCAGAGGATCTACATGATATTCTACATGTGCATCAATGTAGGCTCGATCTCTGCGATCGCAACGACTATGTTGGAGTTGCATGTTGGATTCTGGAGTGCTTATCTTCTACCATTGGTTATGTTCTGCGTGGGCTATGTGGTGTTGGTGAGAGGAAGGAAGCAGTACATCATCAAGCCACCTCAAGGTGGCGTGATTGGAAACTGCTTTCGCGCCCTATACATCGCCGCAAGGAACGGCGGAGATCTTGACAAAGCGAAAGCATCCGCTCAAGGGCACGGAAGAAGCAGGTCAAAGGTGACTTGGGACGACAAGTTCATCGACGAGTTGAAGACTGCGCTGGTCGCATGCAAAGTCTTTCTGTTCTTCCCTATCTACTGGCTCTCGTACTCGCAGATGCTGAACAACTTCGTGTCACAGGCTGGCCAAATGGAGTTGCATGGCCTTCCCAACGACATCCTTTCCAACATCGATCCCGTCACCATCATTCTCCTCATCCCAATCATGGACCGCCTCGTCTACCCGTTCATCCGTACACGACTACACATCGCATTGATGCCAATAACGCGCATCTCTCTCGGCTTCCTCATGGCTGCGCTTGCCATGCTATACGCAGGCGCTCTCCAGTCAAAGATCTATGCGGCACCACCTTGCTACTACAGTCCATCGAACTGCGACGCCGGAAAGATCAGCGAAGGGAAGTTCAAACCAAACAAAGTCCACGTCGCATGGCAAGCCCCAGCATACGTGTTAATCGCACTGAGCGAGATCCTGGCTAGTGTTACCGGATTGGAACTGGCATATGCGAAAGCACCGGAGAATATGAAGAGCTTCATCATGAGTCTCTTCCTGCTTACAAGTGCGGGTGGAAGTGCGCTGGGTATATTGATCGCTCCATTGGCGAGAGATCCGCACTTGCAGTGGTTGTACTTTGGATTGGCGTTCATTGCTGGTGTTGCGGGCGTTGTGTTCTATCGCATGTTCAAAGACGTTGATGATGGCCCTGCGGCGAAGTTGGTTGATGCTGGAGAGTATGAGTTGACTGGACGAGCGAGCGCTGACGATGATGGGTATTACAGCGACGATGCGGACCCTACTCGAGGCTCGCAGCGCGCCTGAAGTACGACAGCTTGAGGTGGACTATCCACCCGCATCCACCCCCAACCAACTGCGCTTCCGCTCCACCGTTCAGCTCCACCCTTCCGCGCATCCCGTCCTTTTCTCTCCCTTAGCTTGGAATCCTAAATTAAGATCCGTGTGGCATGCTGTCGGATCTCCCTGTGCGACCAGCTGTTTCCCGCAGGCGTGATTCTACCACCTCTGAGCTTTCATTGCTACGAGAGCATTTATAGAACATCATCGTCAATGCTGCGCGCGCAAGACGGATGACCTCGAGTGTCTGCTGTGTAGAGAACAAGAAAAAGCATCGCCGAAAATTGGGGCGCGGCAACCTGTTGATGTCATCGTTCATTATCTCCGAAAACCGCTTAACAGCGCCAAAACCCTTCACATTTCCACTCACGACGCGACCGTCCGACCACTCTGACCCATCAGCATTGGCTTACCTGTAGGCACGGAGTCATCGCAGTTCAACTCATGGGTGGTAATTCGGAAACACACAGTAACATAGTCAGAGCTGACGTGGGACCGACCTCTATGATTCGATGACGCTGTGGATTCATGCGGACGCTCGGTTGGCGCCCTCCGCGGAATGACGAGCTCCGAACCCTTACCAACCATGGCCTCGGCCGAACCCATTTCATCATCCGCGCAGAGGTGTGGCTTGAGTAATCCTATGTATAACGCACC